CTGGACCCTCACTGAAACTACTCTTGGATGTTCTGCTGTTGCCTTGAGTCGTGGAAATAGATCCTACAGTTATGGTTCTGCAGGACCAGCCCTATCATGAGCCCCTGCAGCTCATAGATGGGGTGGCCGTTGGGGAGTACATATGGGGGTAGATACGAGGGACTCAGAACCTTGGATGTGGGCCTGGTTAGTAGCTGGGTTGGTCAGCCTGGGCCTCCTCCAGGACCATCCCCTCAGGTGAGGTGCTGGGCCAGCTCTCTCATTCTGCCCTCCCCCTTCACCATCAAGGCCAACTCTCCTGCTCCCATGCCACCACCTCATACTGCAAATGAGCTTCCCTGAGTGTGGTGACAGCGAGGGCGGTACCACCTCTCCCATTCTGCCCCTTCTCCCTCCTCTCTCACCACCCCCCACAGGCAGGTGAGAGGGTGGGGCTAACCCTCCCAGGGCCAGCCAGGGTTGGGCCTGCTCAATAAGGTCCTCAACATGGGCGTAGGCAGCAGTCCAGACCATGTCATCCAGACATGGTCATGAACTTCAACATAGTCCCCAGTTACAGTAGGGTCGTGGACCTAGACATGACCCTCAGTGGCAGCACAGGCACAGACATCACATGGCCTCAGGTGGCAGCGCAGGCCACTCCCATCATCCTGTTCCTCACCACCAGTTCCACTTTTCTCCACAGCACATGAACCACTCTGCTTCTCTTTCTTTCACTTTTCTCCACCATGCTTGCTCATCATGATGCTGCCCGTTGGCCACTGTCTTCTGCCTTCCTGTTCCCTGACTAAACTTTTACCTTGACATTGCTGTTAGTGTATGGAGGACTAACGTACCACCTTAATGGGCAGGAGAGATGGCTCAGGGGTTAAGAGCAGGGGCTGTTCTTCTGGGGACCTGGGTTCAGTTCTTACCACTCACATGGCAGCTCATAACTGTCTGTAACTTGAGTCCCAGGGAGTCTGATGTCATCTTCTGGACTCTAGGGGCTCTGCATTCACATGGTGCACAAACATACGCACAAACAGCACAACTCACATAAAAGTCTTTTTAAAAAGGACCACCTTAGTGCATGTGGAGTAGCATAGCATTTACCAGTTTTTTCAGGTTCTGTCTTGCTAGTCTGTCATATTTATGAATAAGTGTGTTTGTAGGAGCTTGGTTAGGCTTCCCACTAGATACTAGAAATCCTGGGGAAATTTAAAAAAAATATTTTTGTTAAACTTTATGTCACTTAAAACTTTAGAATAGTAATATAACTTCCACTAATATTTTAAGGCAACATAGTAATCAACCTTGAGTTAGATGCTGAGTGACTCTGCTCACTTTCCTTCCCTGCAAATCAGTTTCAAAGAGTAACCGTGATCATTCAAGGGAAATGGTTTTTCAGAGAAGCACGGAGGGACTTCAGTGTTTCCCCCTCATGTCTTGCTCCTCATTTTATTGCATTTGTAACTTACTGCTGGCTAACGATTAGCCATGCCTCAGTTCCCATCCCTCTTCCTGCCCATCTTGATTTCACCTGATGGGTGCAGCAGTGCACATAGGGATCCCCTGCTGAGTCATTATCAGTTGCTGGCCTTCAAAGGTGATCTGTGTGGCCAGTGCTTTCCATCCACAATGCATGTGCTGCTTACTGCTGCTCCCTGGAAACTCTCATAACGCAATATTTTTTAAATTATTCTAGATCAGGTAGATTTGGGATTAAATTTTGACTGTGTTTTTTATGTGACTTTAGACTTATGTGTTAATCTTCCTCAAGTGCTTTTGAAAACTGGGCTGCTAGCACAGTGTGCTGTGGAGGTGTGGCGAATACTTAACAAGGGCCTGTGTGAGAAGCACTGACCATGTAGTAAGCGCTCGGTATTTTTATTACCACCATCACTAACTAAGACATAAGCAGCTCTCCCGACTGTACCACACCCCCCCCAGCGTCTTACATGGGTTCTGGGGATCCTAACTCCAGTTCCTGTGCTTTTATGACAAGTGCTTTGACGACTGAGTCTGAACTGTGAACTCTCCTACATGAGACTGACTATATACCACACAATATTGAACTCAAATGTATCTCTCATAGCCCATTTGAATCAAAATAGGTGGCCAATTGTTTTGATCGCTTGTACCAAAGGGATTTCTTAGGATGTAAGATTTTCAATTAAACCCAGAGAGAGCAGCCTTTGACAGACTTGGGTGACCTGTCACCCTCTCCTACTTCCTGTTCTTCCTCTTGCACTTCCCTTTCCCCACTCCTTCCCCCTTCTCCTTCAGTTCTTCTCCCCCTCCTTTTCCCCAGAAAGAGGATCAGAGACCTGGAGGAGGTGAGGGAGACAGATCATATGGGAACACACATTTGCAGGTCACAGGACAGGAATGGACTTGATGTGTTCAAGAATTTACAAAGATGGGACTGGAGAAGATGGCTCAAAAGTTAAGAGCACTGGCTGCTTTTCCAAAGGTTCTGAGTTCAGTTCCCAGCAACCACATGGTGGCTCACAACCATCTGTAATGGAATTCTTAGCTCTCTCTGGCATGCTTGCAGACAGAACACTCATACCTAAAAAAGTACATAAATAAATTTTTCTTTTTGAAAAAGGAAAAAAAAAAACCAGAATTTGTGAGGAGGCCAGTGTTGCCGGCACAGAATTATTAAAATGGAGATTAGAAAGTAGGAAGTGAGGGCAGGGAGGTAACATGCAGCAGAATTGTATAGAGCTTTACAGGGCTGATGCAAGAGAAAATGATTTGAGTATAAGATCTTCTATTTTAATAAGATCATCTCCATTATACATCATGTGTCTACTGTGTTGGAAAAATGCTGGAAGGTGGAGGCAAAGCAGGGTCATACCAGTAGGAAGCAGTTGGCAATAATTTAAAGCAGGACGTGTTGCTGGCTTAGACGAGGGTGATATCCGTGGATGTGATAGGTTTGCTAGATCAGAGGTGGCCAACTTAAACAAAACAAAACATTTATTATTTATTTTATGTGTATGTATGTAAGTACACATGCTGTGTGTGTGCATGTATGTACATGTTCCATGGCATAGGCAGGGAGGTCAGAAGACAGTTTGTGGGAATTGGTTCTATTCTTCTGCCATTTGGGTTCTGGGGATCCAACTCAAGTTGTCAGGCTTGGTCGCAGACAGGGTCATCTGCTGAGCATCTCAGCAGCCTGTCAGCCTTTTGAGACTGTGATGTGATGCTGTCATTTACACATTTGTTGGGCTGCATTCATCACTGTCCTGGACCATAGATTGGATATGCCTGTGCTAAATCATCTGTGGTTAGGAGTGGGAGAAAAAAAGCCGGGGACAATTTCAGGTTTTTTTTTTTTTTTCTGAGAAATAATTAAGTGGAGTTTACTAAGATGAGGAAGAGTATGGAAAAAGCAGCTTTCGGGGAACTGGGTTAGGAATTCTCTTTTGAATAAACTGAAGATTAATGCCCATCACACTTTTGTCTGGGCAGATATGAGTTTGAAGTTTGAGAAGTTAGAGGTGGAAATGTAAATTTGGAAGATGTTTGTGTGTTTGTAGAGTCAGGCTGAAATTGAGTATATGAATGAAAAAGAAGATGGCCAAGACCAGAGTCTCATTCTAGCAAAGCACTCAAAGAGCCCAGGTTTTTAATTATCATCCTATAATGTGTCTACTGCTAGTAGCACTTAACTCATTAAAAAATGAGGCCTGCAGCTGCCCTCAGAGGCTTTGATGTGCTTGGGGAAACAAAATAAATAGCATATATTAATATTTAAGTTACAATACAGAGTAGTATATGAGAAAATGTTGGAGTAACTGTCAAGGACAACAACTTTATCTGTCTTAAAGTGGAAAATATTACTTCATATAGAAATGATTGACAAAGACCTGGTGGAAGAAAACGGAACTTGCACTGAACCTTGAACAAGAGGCAGTGGCTGGTGCAATGTCCTCCAGGTTCAACACTCTGTAGAAACAACTGCTAGATTCTATCAGAGGTGCTGTGCACACAGTTCTGCTTGATAGAGCACGTGGATGCTTCCTGCAGTTAGCAGTGGGAAAGGCACTTGGGCGGGGTAAAGGAGAGGTCCAGGGATGAGTTTCCATTTGTCTTCCCCTAGTGGCATTGTGTGGGCAGCCCTTCCTCTGTTATCAGTGAAGTCCCTCGCCTTGATGTCCAGAGCTCTTCATTAGGGTACAGTCATGTGTGTGGGACTAATTGCCCGTGTAAATGTGGCTCACTGCCCACCTTGCTGACCTTAGTTTTCAGCCTCTAGATTTATGAGGCCCCACTTTCATAAATTGTACTGTTATGGCCTCCACGTAAACAGACAAGACATTACACAAAGTGTTCACTTCCAGAGCCAAAGACAAGCTTACTGCATAGTAAAGGAGTTGATGTATCACCCGTTCTACGGAGTTAGCATGAGCTGAACTTTGTACCATGTTTTTAAATGTTGTGGTAACCACAATATGATTCTGTACTTGAGGATCTAAATCTTGGAATCAGATGGCCAAGATGCATATTCCAGTTATAAATTTTGAATTGTGGAATTTATGGCAGTTATAATGAATAATGTATCCAAAAAGCAAGGTTAATAACAATATCCACCTTATAGCCTTATTGTGAAGATGAGTCACTATATTGCTTTCAGAATAGGTTCTGACACATAGTAAATGCTGTAAAAGTAATGAGTTTCTTCACGTATTTTACTCACACTATTGATTCAGTTTTGAGTCTTAGTATATTAAGGAGTAATATTTGACCCCTATCTCCTAAGCCTTAAGACTTTTATTTCTGGACACCTAGGTATATATTTAGAGGGCTTCTCAGTCTTTGAATATTAACATACTGAAAAAGAAATGAAACATTTTCCTTTAAAATTGTTTCTAATGAAGGTCGTAACTGTCCAATTCATTTACTTACTTAGATGTTAAATCTCTAGTTGCTGCAAAGATTGTGCTTAATAGGAAAAGCTTTTGGTGAACTGAGAAGTTAATTTCAGTTTTTTTTTTTTCATACAGGTCTGTGTATGATGATCAGCCAAATGCGCACAAGAAGTTTATGGAAAAGCTAGATGCTTGTATCCGCAGCCATGACAAGGAGATTGAAAAGATGTGCAACTTCCACCATCAGGGCTTTGTAGACGCTATCACGGAGCTTCTTAAAGTAAGGGCCGGTGCAGAAAAATTGAAGGTAGGAAATATGTTCAGCTTCTCTTTGCTTTATACTCATTAGGTTGTGCAATACTATAACATTCTGGCCATTGACTGCACTTTCAGAAAGTAAATAATATATGTACTGGAGAATGTTCCTGGCTCTCCACTAACACAGCTGTCAACACTACAACAGGAATGCTTCTTACCTAATAGGATGTCTCCATGCAGGAAGTGTGCTAAAACACACAGACAGGGAAAGGCCTATTTACAGTTTTAAAAACAGTGATAAATAGTCTTAAAAAGCTGTCCTCACAAGGTGGTGGAGGCGCACCCTTTTAACCCCAGCACTTGAGAGGCAGAGGCAGAGGCAGAGGCAGGTGGATCTCTGTGAGTTCAAGGCCAGCCTGATTTACACAGTGAGTTCCAGGATAGCCAGAGCTGTTACACAGAGAGACTCTGTCTTGAAATACAAAAAAAAAAAAAAAAAAGCTATCCTCTAAAGTCATGAAAATTTTACTATAAATGATTTTATGCTGTCATTTAATTTTGTTAAAGAAAGTTGCTCACATATTCTGCCATATTGGAAGCATTATTTATTAAATTGGATTTGTTCAGTAAGCATATAAAAAGCTTAATTATAGGAATTGTTTTATCTTTTCATTCAAAGTGCTTATCAGGCAGAATGCAAAGATTCTGATTAGAAGAAGCATCATATAAAGGCTATTCAGATAACAAGAGACCAGACACCATCATGAGGTCACTGAGCACCTCTGCTCTGCAGCTAATGAGATTTTAATAAACGAGAATGTGCTTCCTCATACGATGACCTAATGAGTCACTTAATATGTGGGAAAATCCAGGCTGAGCTTTGGCTGCACCTGCAGCTTGAGCATGTTGCTCTGGGTTGAGATTTCTGTGTCTGATGTTAATCAACCTCCCAGGGTTTACATTCAGAAAGTATGAATGTTTAATTACCGTAAAATGCAATCGCCATTTCCTGCGGACAGTGAATGGCACATAGAGCTCATTGAAGTTATCAAAAAGGGACCAGTGGTCAATTGGGTCAGTGATTTGAATTGTTTGACAGACTCAGAAAAGCAAGTAAAGTTCAAAAATCCTGAGTAAATTTGAGAAGTTTGCCACAGAATCTGTTAGAAAGAACTGTCACAATCAATTGAAGTTAACAAAAGTCCTTTTCAATCAAAAGTTCAAGTTCAAGCTGTAGAGTTAATTTGAATTTGCATTTCTTTGTTCTGAGTTTCTCATGAAGCATGATCTGATTACAAGGGTGAGCAGTTGCTTCAGGGCAGCTTTATGTACGTTTGTCTAACTAAGGTGAAATTATTTTTAAGGTGCAAGTTACTGATACCAACCGAAGGTTTCAAGATGCTGGAAAAGAGGTAAGAAAAGAATGGATGGAGAGCTGGGTGGATGAATGAGAAGAGGGAGGGAGGGAGGAAGGGAGAGAGAGAACTCAGTATATATGGGTGCCATGTAACCTTAAAATTGTCAACACTTTATTTTCCAAGGTGATAGTACAAACAGAAGATATTATTCGGTGTAGAATTCAGCAGAGAAACATTATAACCGTAGTAGAGAAATTGCAGTTATGCCTCCCAGGTGAGTCAGACGATGTACCATATGTTTGGTGTGGTAAAATTATAATTCGATGGTACTGCATAGTCATCTTCCCTGTAGGGATTACAGATTATTGTGATTGCTTCCTAGTACTGCCTCTGGTTGCCTTTCATGCTTGCTCCTCTGGATTTCTGTGAGTTTTACAAAGTAAATGTTTCCACTTCACCTGTTGCCTAAACATCTTTGCATTTCCTCTCTGTCAGCTGGCCATCTGGGTCACCTCTCCACCGTTACCCCACCTCCATGCTTCTCTGTTTTCCCTCTCAAGAGTGTGTTTCAGCTTTTCTTCTGGTCTTTATCTAATCTGCCTGATTTTTTTTTACCTCTAGTTTTTCCATTGCTTTATGTTTGTCACCTACCAGGCTGACTTTGCTTTGTTCCCAGCCTCATTTTCAATAAAGTAAAGAAACACTGTAAACGCTAGGCCTCCCCTCTTTTGCCTCTCCAATTGCTTTTTGGAAAGACTTAGTTCTTGGTCTGGCTCAGATATTACTGGGATATCACATAAATTCTCAAGAACTAACCAGTATTTCTTAACCTGGACTTACTATGTTGTAAGTTGGATGCACACTGTTCAAAAAGAGCAGGTATATGCCATTTCTTTTTTTTTCACGTTATCAGTGAAATCCATCTCAAGATCTGCTTTAACTTAGCTCCTCATTAGGAAGAGACCTAACCCTCCATATAATACCATGCATACTAGTTATGTGATAGAAGTTTAGCTTAGAATATAAATGATTTTGTCAGTAGTTTTTATTGACTAAGATAAATATTTTGTTTTCTCACTAATGAGAATAGCTTTTCTTAGAACTCCTACAAGTCCACTCAGTTGAGTACATAGTGGACCAGGGATATTTACATATTAACCTTGAATAAATAGAATGCTAGTTTTCTAAAGGTTTTAGGGTTGAGAGACGCCTTGAATGGGGTTTTATAATGCCTCTGCTGCCGTTAGATACATTGTGTTAACCTTGAAGACACTTCTTCACTGGATGCTTTGCCGTTTGTCACCTTGGATAGTAAGCCTAAATGTGTGTACTGGTGGAGAGTTGGGTTCAGCACACGCCTTACTGGGCTGTGACAGTGGCTCTGAGCGTGTGAATACTTACTCTTTGTTGCCACACCCAGAGCCTCCCCTCCCCAAATCTGCCTTTTGATGAACAACACGTACATTTCCCCATGTGTCAATCATTATGGAAGATATTGGGATTATACAGTTCAAAGTGTATTATTTTATTGAATAATTTCATTTCTGAGGCTTTGTGGAAGCATTGACATAAATATTCTTTGCTGGGTTTATTTTGACTGTTGTTAGAACTCACTGTGCCATTAGCATTTGACAGTTTTCTTTCTTTGTAGATTCGGTGTGAATTTCACTGTGTAGTCAGTTATATTACAGTCGTGCTATTTATGTTGAGTCAGGTGAATCTCACTGTCACTCAATTTTCTTTCTCAAGTACCTAAAATAGAAACTTCTAATTCCAATTCTGGAAAGAGATATTCGTAGTTTCTGAATAGAATAATTATTAATAGGTTCCTGTCTCATTGCAGGTATCAGTATATTCAGGCGTTCCAGCTTTAATATGTTAATGTATATAATGTTCACTATGTGCAAATTAAACCATTTCCATTAACAACACATAAAACTTTTACTCAAGAATATTAGCTCACCACGTTGTAGCACAGAGAAGACAACGAACTTGTTGTGTCAGTGTCCTTTTCTTATGAAGCTCACCTGTTGTTTTCCCTGCAGTGCTGGAGATGTACAGTAAGCTGAAAGAGCAGATGAGCATGAAAAGGTGAGCTCACTTCTCTGTGTCTCGGTAAGCACAGGGCAGCTCTGTCTTCAACCTTTTCCATGCAATGGGCTTATCACTATCACTCAGTAAAGCGGACTGTAGCCGTGTACCTACGAGTGCTTGTCCTTTAGAGGTGACATGAAAGATTGATAAAGGATAAACAGACAGCTCAACAGGAGTCAGGATTTTGTTAACTTACTGCATATTTTGCTATAATAAGGGCTGAGTGTAGGATGAAGGCAGAGTACAGGTGGTTATAAGTTCACAGCCAGGACAGCGTTCTTCACCTTCTGCCTCGTAATACAGATGAAAATGTGACATACAAAGTAATATGGCGTGGTTTATTAATTGCCATAGGAGCATTGATGAAATGATGTTCAAGATGTTTAAATGAACAACTCCAAAGTAACACTGAAAAACCAAAATAAAGAAGACACGTGTGAATTGGGAAATAATTTTTAATTATTTATAAACAGTTATAACATGTAATGTACAAATCTGTATCAGTGAATGCCTTGCTTTATATATATATAGTACTATACCTTGAATTTCAGTAGGTTTGTCAATTTGTATTAGTTTATAGAATAGTAATTTTCCATTATTAAACATATATAAGACAGAAAAGTCTTTTGTTTCTATACTATTATGTTCTCTTTTTGTGCTATGCATTCTCATATTTTAAACTTCAAAAAGTTTTATGTGTTTGCTGCAAAAAAAAAACAAGCAATCTACTCCTACCCCCAAGCCCACCAGGGGTTAATTTTCCTTCCTTTCAGGGACCAGTTCTTCTCATGGGGCAAAAACTTTTACTCATCACCAGTCATTTTGACCTCTACACCTTCAACTTTAAAAGTGTGTAAAGTGTCTTCAAATGATGTTGACCGAGGTTTCTGTCCTACCCGCTCCTACAGCCGTTCAATCCCAAAGAACCACACACAGGTCTACATTAATCATAAACTGATGGGCTTATTAGCTCAGGATCCTTATTAACTCATAACTTATATTAGCCCATAATTCTTGTCAGTGTTAGCCATTTAGCTTGGTACCTTTTTTGGTGAGGCAGTCACATCTTGCTTCCTCTGTGTCAGGGTGACGACTGCAGACTGAATCTTCTTTCCAGAATTCTCCTGTTCTCATTGCCGCACCTATACTTCCTGCCTGGCTACTGGCCAATCAGCACTTTATTAAAATACAGTTGACAGGGTACAGACCATTGTCCCACAGCAAAATGACTCTTACTGTTTTCCAGTTTAGGGGTTTATCTGTTTTTTCAGTGATGTAATCTAATAGTTATAATCAGATTTTCTCTACCATGCCCCAAATATTGTCTTCTTTCCTGCCTGAAAAATTGTTTCTTATGTGGGTTTTTTTTTGTCCATTTTTATTTTATTAATAATCCAATAATCATTATTTTAGAGACAGGTCTCACCTGTAACTCAAGCTGGGCTGGACCTCTTGTAGCCTCAGACTTGCAGCGGCCCTGCCTTCCAGCCTCTCTAGTGCTGGACTGAAGGTGTGAGGCTCCACACTTCTGAAGATGCTGCCCTCCCCTCTAGTTGTTCTTTTGCCATTCATGAAAAGTTCAGGTCAACTCTTGTAACTTAGGACACTTTGTATTTGTTTGTTTGTTTGAGACAGGGATTCTCTGTATAGCCCTGGCTGTCATGGAACTCAATTTGTAGACCAAGGTGGGCCTCGAATTCACAGAGCTCCGCCTGCCTCTGCCTCCTGAGTGTTGGTATTAAAGGTGTGTGCCAGCACTGTCTGACTGGGATTACTACTTTTAATCTGTTTTCTTTGCTCCTTTTTTTCTGATTATTGCTGTAGAGTCATGAATATTTTAAAAATAAATGCATTAGTTTATTATTATCTTTATTCTATTTGATGTACAGATTGTTCCAGGTCAGTGTAGAGATTTTCAAGCCAGTTTGTGTCCTCTTGGTGTGCTTTCCTGCTGCATAGTACGATGTTCCTGGCTCTCACTGCGCTCTTCTGCTCGCGCCTGTGCTTCTTTAATAGTTCTATTAGAATAGTATTATTATTAGACAGCAGCACTATTTAGAAACTAAGATTTGCCTGCAGCCTGGGCTCATCACACTCTCACTCACATGTGCACGAGCGCACACACACGCGCACACACATACACACATGCACATGTGTGGGCAATCTTATAAGCTTTCTTCTTTCCAGGTGTGTTCTCTCTGCCCTCTCTCTTCCATGGTTGCTATTGGGAAGTCTGAAGTCATTCTCATTTCTTTTTCTTTTGATTGCTTTTTTCTTTGCTTTTGTTTTGTTTTGATTTTTTTGGTTTGTTTGTTTGTTTCTGAGACAGGGTTTCTTTGTGTAGCCCTGGTTGTTCTGGAACTCACTATGTAGACCAGGCTGTCCTCAAACTCATAGAGATCCATCTGCTTCTGCCTCCCAGGGCATTAGAGGTATGCGCAACCAGCATCCGGCTTCATTTCTTAACTTTGCCCTTAAAAAACAAACAAAGAAAAACTTTGTCCTCTGTGTTCTGTAAATTCTTTATGATATGTTTTAATGACATGTTTGTTTTCAATGTGCCTGATAGGTTCTTGGGGAGTCACCTTTTAAAATAATCTGTATTTATTTTATGTATTTGAGTATTTTGCCTGAATGTTTGTATGTGTACTGTGTGTGTGCTTGGTGCCTGCAGAAGTCAGAAGTAGATACTGAATTCCTTGGGCCTGAAGTTACAGTTGGTTGTGAACTGCCATATGGATGCTGGAAACCAAACTGTGGTCCTGGTCCTCTGCAAAAGGAGCAAGTTTCCTTAATTGCAGATCCATTTCTTCAATCCTGGGAGCCACACTTTAACTTGGAAACTAATCTTTAATCTGATAACACGTTTGGAAATTTTCTTGATATAAATTTTTCTAAGAGTACTGACCTATTCTCTCCCCTTCCCTCCTTACTTCTATCCTTCCCTCTCTCCCTCATTTTCTTCTTTCTTCCCTCAGAAACAGCATCTCACTATATCCCACTATATGCTTGAACTTATGACTGTTGTGCCTCAGGCTTCCGAATACTGGCATGTAGCAAGCTTTCTTATCAGACTCTCTTTGGACCTTCAGTCCACAAATAATGATCTGGAGACTTATTATTAATTATAAAATCTCAGCTTTAGCTTAGGCTTTTCCCCAACTAGCTCTTATAACTTAATTAACCCATATTTTTTAAATCTGCATTCTGCCACATGGCTTGATTACCTTAGCTCAGTATGGCATGTCCGACCTGCTGTCTGCTGGTGAAATCCCCACACCTAGTTTCCTCCTCCCCTTTCTCTCTCTCCCTGGAGATCCCACCCTCCTCTCCTGCCTAACTATTGACCATTCAACTTCTTATTAAACCAATCAGAAGGTGTCTTAAGCAGAGACACATTTTTACACTATACACAGATATTCTGCAACCCTGGCATGACAGACGTGAGCCATGCCCTGTCACAAGTTCTTTTTTCCTATTGTCTTTCAGTTTAAAATATTTTCTAGTTTTCCTTGGATCTTTGAAACGTAGGATATTTATATGTTTATATACTGAATCCCGGAACCATTTCACTATGACATCTTGACCAAGTTACATACTGTTTTAGTTTTCTTATCATATATAAATATCATTGGTTGCCAATAGATTATACCTCAGAGGGTTGAAAGAAAGTATTAGCCCGTGAAAGTCTGTGTCAGTTTCTCTGGGGCACAAGCTCTGGTTTACTAATTACTGCACACCTGACATGTTCCGTAGTGCCTCATAAATAGTGGACATGCAGAAAATATTGATTGAATTGAAAGAAATCACTCACCGAGTGATTTTTACCTTACATTTGAGGCACTTAGTGATATTTCTAATTAAATAGTAGTATGACTTTTTTTATAACAGTTAAATAAATTTAACATTTATTTTGAATGAAACGTGCTATGATTTTTGATGGTATCATTGTGTGGATGGATATAATGTAGGAGAGATAGTAAGAAATTATATAGCGAATAATTTAGCATTGTGTTGTGATTTGTAAATTTGTTTAGAGTTAAGACATTGCAACAACTATGATAGTGTTCCTCATGTTATAGATTTAGTTGAAATTAATTAGTGGAAGCCCTGAATGTTAGCTGCTAATGTGTGTATAGTATACATGGTTGTGTTTAGTAATGGGGATAAATGTTATTTTCTCCCTGGGGCTGTATGTGGAACCCAGGGCCTTGTGTAGCTAGGCAAAGGTCCCAGACCCAAACCCAGATGCAGTCACTCCTCTTTGAGGGAAGCATCAGATTGATCCATTATTTGGGTCTTCTTATGTAGTTAATTGACATGAACTTTTTATATTTCCCTTTGACCTCTTGCAGGTATTATTCTGCACTTCAAACAATGGAACAGTTGGAAACTGTGTACTTTCCCCGGGTCAGTCAGTACCGCTTCTGCCAGCTAATGATAGACACGCTTCCTAAACTCCGGGAGGATATCAAAGAAATCTCCATGTCCGATCTTAAGGACTTTCTGGAAAGCATTCGAAAGCATTCTGACAAAATAGGTGAAACAGCGATGAAACAGGTGAGTTTAACGTTTTTCAGTTTAATATTCTTGATGTCTGGGATGTAAAACATGTCCAGGGCTTACCTCTCAACATGCTTTAATATTCTTGATGTCTGGGATGTAAAACATGTCCAGGGCTTACCTCTCAACACGCTTCCTTGTGCTTAAGCTTAACGTTTTCTGATCATCCCTGGTTCTCTTTTAGAATAGTTTTTTTCCTAGCATTTTCTTTGGAGTTACAGATATTTTAAAAATTTAAGTCAAGTTGGTTTAACTGATTTCTTCAGTCATTCACCAGCTGAACTCCCAGCGGTCTGTTTTCCAGCAGTCAGATCTGCCTTAACAATAGGTGCTAGCCACAGAGTGGAAACAGCTTTATGATGTTACCTTTTTAAAGATAGATCTGTATTATTTTTATTATGTGTATGTGCACGTGTCTATGTGATTGCAGGTGCTAGAGGCAGTCAGAGGTATTGGATCTCCTGCAGATGTGGCTACAGGTGCGTGTGAGCTGCCTGAGATGGATGCTGAGAACTGAACTCTCACCCTCTGCAAGGGCAGCAAGTGCTCTTAGCTGCTGAGCTTTCTTTCTACTTCCCATAAATTGTTCCTTTTAAAAACATACTAAAAATTAGGTTTAAATTAAAGCCTACAGTTCAATAATAAGATCAGAAACAAGCATAGTCAAGTGTTGGTGGCACACACTTTTAATCCCAGCACTTGGAGGCATAGGCAGGCAGATCTCTGAGTTCAAGGCCAGCGTGGTCTACAGAGCAGTTCCAGGACAGCCAAGGCCACACAGAAAAATGCTGTCTTGAAAAAAACCAACCAACCATCCAAACAAACAAACAAAAAAACAAGCATAATAGATAAAATGCAATATGGAAATGAGCCAAGCTAAAAATTGGATCTTAATTTTCAATTAAAATTGATAATCCTTTGTAACAGAATTTGAAAGAGAAGAAAGTACAAATCAGAAATTAAAAAGAGGACATTGTTGCAGATCTTACACATACATTTAAATAATAAATTATTGGGGTTTTGGAAATGGCTTGGTTGGTAAAGCACTTGCTTCTCAAGCATTAGGAGCTGAGTTTGATCCCCAGAACCCACACATAAAAAGAGTCAGACATGGTGTGTGCTTGTAATCTCAGCCCTGAAGAGGCAGATATGGACAGGTCACTTGGTCAGCCCCAGGTCTCAGTAAGAGATCTCATTTCAAATCAATCAATCAATCAGTTAATCAATCATGATCCCGAAGAATGGGGCTTGAGTTTGACCCCACATGCACATGCTTCTCCAGACCCTGAAACAGGTTTATAAGAAACAGTTTTATAAGAAACAACTTAAAAAAGGGATATGTTATGAATAATTTTGAGGCAGGGAGCACTGTACATGGACACACAACTACAAATCTAACACTTGGGAGGCTGAAGCAGGAAGACCTCAAGTTTGTGGTCAGACTGAGATACGTAATGAGTTCCAGTTCAGCCTGGCTATATAGCAGGAGCCTGTATCAAATATATAAGTGGTAGTTAGGAAAATGGATGAGTGGGTGGATGGATGGGTGGATAGTAAATGTTGATTTTGACTAGAATAAATTTTGAAATAAGTTGAACTTTGTCCTCCTTTAAATAGGCACAGCAGCAGAAAAGTTTCAGTGTTGCTCTGCAGAAGCAAAATAATGCGAGGTTTGGGAAAAACATGCATGCAAATAATGACAGAATTCTAGAAGAAAAGAATGACATTGTATTGAAACATGTACTTGAAGAGGAGGCTGAGAATGAAGAGGAGGTAATGGGGTTTCTTCCTTCCCTTATTTTTGAATAATTGTTTGCTTTATAAAGCACTGTGTTTTCCATGTGCCAATTGATTTATGTCCGTCAGTTCACAGTGGACAGTGAATGATCTGAAATATTAGACAACATAATTGATAGACAAACAGGATATTGCAGACTGTATTTTTGTAGACAGTAGAGTGTAGCTGTTTTGTATAATTAGTAGTAAAAATAAATTTAGTCTTTTTTGTAGTTACCATATTCGAACTAGCTGAGACAAATTTTTTTTTTAAAGATTTATTTATTTATTAGGTATACAACATTCCTTCCATGTATGCTTGCATGCCAGAAGAGGGCACCAGATCTCATTATAGATGGCTGTGAGCCACCATGTGGTTGCTGGGAATTGAACTCAGAACCTCTGGAAGAGCAGTCAGTGCTCTTAACCTCTGAGCCATCTCTCCAGCCCCCTGAGACAAATTTTTATTTCATAATTTTTGACTCTGTTATTTGGCCCAACTCTGGATAGCCTACCATTTTATTTTTTATCATATTTTATTTTAGTATATGTGTGCATATGTGTAGTGTCATGTGGTATATGTGCATGTGAGTGTACAGGTACATCTGGATGTGTGTGTATATTTGTGTCGAGGCCAGAGGTGAACATCAGGTGTTTTCTTTAATCACTTTCGGTGTGTGTGTGTGTGTGTGTGTGTGTGTGTGTGTGTGTAATAGTGTATGTGCCACAGTGGGTGTATGGAAGTCAAGGGACAACTAAGTGGGGTTGTTTTTTCTTCCCATCTCTCACATAGGTTCTAGGGATCACCCAGGTGGCCAAACTTGTGTAGCAAACACAGAGCCATCTCATTAATGCCACCTCAGTTTTTCTGAGACTGGGTCTCATTGGGCCTGGAGCTCTCTGATTGGCTAGGCTGTCTGGAGAATGAGCTGCAGACACTTACTTGTTTCCCCATCCTGCAGTTTTGGGGTTATAGTTGGATGTTGCCACTCCCTCAAGTTTATGTGGGTTCTGGGGATCCAAAGTCACTTCCTTATACCTTTGTGGTAAGCACTTTATGGACTGTCTCCCCAGCCTTCTGCCACTTTATTTCAATTTGTATTGAGGGGCTACAACAGAATTCTGTTGTAGCTTCTGTTAAGCTCTACATTTTTTAAATTAAATATTTGAAAATTCTGTACAGTATATTTTGAGTATACTCGCCATCCCAACTCCCCCTGTTGTCACCCTTTTAGCCTTCCCATCCCTTCCCACTAACTTTGAGGTTACCTCTTCCATTCTTCTCTGTTCTTCCTCTTCTTCCCTCCTCTTTCTCTTTTCCCTCCTCCTCTTTATTTTCCTCTTCCTTTGTCTTCCTTCTATCTTCATTGAATTCAGTGTGTGCTTCCCAGCTTGTGTTGGGGATGGGGCCTTCCCTGGCCTGTGGTTGACCTACCAGAGGTCACATCATTAAAAAAATGACTTTCCCTTTCCCAGCAGCTGTCAAATTCTAATAGGCTCAGCTAGTAGCGGGGTTATGTGTCCACCTCCCCACTCCATGCTGGGATTTTGCCTGGCTGGGTCTTGCACAGGTGTTTTGCATGCTGCCACACTGCTGTGAGTTCATATTACGTCTATCCTGTTACTTCTGGAAAACACTGCTTCCTTGAAGTTGTCTACCACTTCTGGCCCTTACAGTCTTTCACCTGCTCTTCCACAGGACCCCTGAGCTTTTGGGTGAGGAGTTTGATGTGGATGTCCAACTTAGGGTTGAGCACTCACAGCCTTTTGTCGTCTGCATGTTGAACAATTAGGGTCTCTGTGACTGTCATCTCTTTTTAAAAATGATTTACTTATTTTTTTCATTCTATGTGCATTGGTGTTTTACTCACATGTATTTTTAGGTGAGGGTCTCAAATTCCCTGGGACTGGAGTTATAGACAGTTGTGAGCTGCCAAGTGAATCCTGGGATTTGAACCTTGTCCTCTGGAGGAACAGTCAGTGCTCTTAACCACTGAGCCATCTCTCCAGCTTTGTTAATTGTTATTTTTTTAAAAAAAGTCCTATCTATAAACCTTGAAATTATTTTAAATTTATTTTTTTCTATCCAAATTTATTATTTCATCCTGTTGTTTTTTTTTAAAAAAAAACCTTCACCATGTAACAGTCATCTGTTGAGTCTGTCTTGTATTAGTACTAATATTTTGAAATATTTTTATATTTTTTTAAAATTTATTTATTTGCTTATTATGTATACAGTATTCTTTCTTCGGTCCAGAAGAGGGCACCAGACCCCATTACAGATGGTTGTGAGCCACCATGTCGTTGCTGGGAATTGAACTCAGGACTTTTGGAAGAGCAGGCAATGCTCTTAACCTCTGAACCATCTCTCCAGCCCCAATATTTATATTTTTATTATTTATTTATGTGTGTGTGTCTGTGTGTGATTGCCCACAGAATTCAAATGAGGTCATTGGATTCTCTGGAGCTAGAGTTTCAGGCTGTTCATGTTGAGGTCTGAGGCTGACAGCAGAAATATCCTTGACACTGTCCACTTTAGCCTCTCAGGTGACTCAGAACTGCTTAGCCAGCCAGCGAGTTCTGCAGGCCGCCTGTCTCCACAGTTTGGGAGGAGTGCTGGGATGACAAGGGGGCGGCACACCTGTCCGACCTGTACGTGGGTCTGGGGTCTGAACTCTGGCCTTCACTGAGTGACAGGGCAAGCAGTTTACCCCCTGAACCATTCTCTCCAGCTCCCGTCCTTTATTCCAAACCAGTGTTTTTAGAGGTAGGGATAAGGACACACAGCTCAGTGATACAGTGCTTGTGGAAGGCCCTACTCTAAAAGGTTAAGGGAGGTGGACAGCACTTGGTGCTTTTCATTCTGATAAATCCCTGAATACCTGAAGCTGAAGTTGCTTCCTATAATAGTTGTCATTGGAGACATAGAATTGGATCTTTTTAGGTTGAATTTTGAGATAGTATACAAATTGCAAACATGGTTTCAGTATGAGACACTTTCTAAAATTGACATCTTTGTTCTTAATATTTAGAGGATTTTGTATTCTTTTTTTCCTTTGAAGACATGGATGATAAGAAGTCAATTCTTAATCAGTTTCCCTGTCTGTCTTGCACATCTCTACCTGGTGGTGATATTAGAATCATATGTTAGCTTAAGGTACTTTGGTTGTTTCCTATTCTTTTGGATCTCTTTTACTATTTCTATATTTTGTTTTCATAATTTTTCCTAATAAGTAAGAGCATAATCTGTCCAGGATTTGTGAGAATAGAAATGTGTTCCTTTTTTAGAAGAATTCACAGATTTCTCAAGTTTGAGAGACTTTATATTACTTTATATTTTTTGTTTTCTTGTTTGTTTGTTTTGAGACTGGGTTTCTCTTTGTAACAGCTCTGGCTACCCTGGAACTAGCTCTTGTAGCCCAGGCTGGCCTCAAACTCACAGAGATCTCTCTGCCCCTGCCTCCTAAGTGCTGGGATTACAGGTATGTGTAGTTGGAAGCTTTTCTCTGTCTCGCCCGGGCCCACTGAACTAGTTTCTCTCCCAGTCCCCACGACTGCTTATAGAATAATCAATCACTCAGAGGCTAATATTAATATAATTGGTTGGCTGGTGGCTTAGACTATTACTGACTAACCCTCACTTGTAAGTTAACCCATTTCTAATAGTTTGTATATCTCTGTGTGACAATGGCATTATGTTAGGTATTCTGGCATCCTGTTCTATGGGCAGCTCACTGACATCTCTCTCAACCTACCTTTTTTCTTCCTCTCTCTGCTTGGATTTCCCACCTAGCTGTCACAGGCCAAAGCAGGTTCTTTATTAACCAGTGGGAAGAAGGCATGTTCACAGCACACAGAAGGACATTCCACATCAGGCGTGCACCACCACAGCCTGGTTTCTTTATGCTATTTTTAAACAGTTCTAAGGAATACTTTTTTTTTTACACTGTAACATAATGTGAATAATTTTTGTATTATATATTCTAGAAGGTGGCATGCATCTTAGAATTGATAAACCAATTTTAAGCAGCTATGCATTTAAAAAAAAAAAGGTCCATAAGATAATAGTGATAGTTTCTAATTAGAAACAATGGTGAAAAGCAGATGGTTTTGCTTTAAATGGAACTTTGTTTAAAGCCAGAATGTAAATTAATGAATTACCTCAAACAAGATCATAGTCAATATGTACTTATTACAGCAATTTTTCTGATACTCTGCTAAGCATGATACAGATATGTTTTCTACTCAAAGGTAGAGTGCTTACTTAGCAAGGGCAAGGCCCTGGGGTCAGTCCACAGTGTAGGAAAAAGTTATTTTTTTCTATAATCCATAACAGTCAACAATAATAGTAAACATATAAGGAATAAGCTACAAAAACACCAAAGTGAAATGACATGGGATTGCATTCATATTGTATGCCTGGGAGAATTACATAAATATTTTAACAGTCCATGAGTTGATGTTTGATTTTAACTTTGTATTATCTAATAGTATAACCTATCGTTTTTAAAAATAGATTTATTTTTTAGGTCTTAACTGTTCAAGATCTCGTTGATTTTTCACCTGTTTACCGATGCTTACACATTTATTCTGCTTTGGTGAGTATTTTTGCCAATTCTGACCATATGGAGTCCCATGGTGATGTGCTTTTGATATACTACATGTATCATAGTCTTTGTCACTGGGGAATGTGTGAGTGCACCCTGGGACGTCGCAGAATAACGACTTTGGTACTTTCTGAGAACAGGAGGAGATTGTACTTCCATCTCCCTTTCTTCCTGAGGTTGACTCATAGTTACTTTTCAGTATTTATTTCAGTGTGTGCTTGTTCCACATTATATTGTTAGTACTTTTATGTAAGCAGTCAGTTACCCATTTTTAAATAATTTCTTTATCAAGATGTAATTCAGGACTGGGGATGTAGCTCCATTGTAGAGTGTTCTTGTAGCATGTATGAAGCTCTGGGTTCTAGCCCCAGCACTACCACCAAAAAGAAAGGAAGAAAGGAATAAACTCGTGTATGTGTGTGTGCACATGTGTGTTTGTATGTGTGCTTGTATGTGTGAGGATACATGAGTGTGCATGCATGTGTATGTGTGTGTTTGTATGTATGTTGAGACCAGAGGTCAACTTTAGGAATCATTAGGTGTTTTCTACCTTGTTTGTATGTGTGCATGTGTGTGTGTGTTAGAGAGAATTTAGAGGCCAGAGGACCTTGAGTGTCATTCATTCCTCAGGTACTGTGTACTTTGGGCACTGTAAAAACATAATACTTTGTCTAGGTCTTGATGAAGTAATTCTTCCTCTCAGTCTTTCAAAGCTGCTATTTTCTTTTTTTATAATGTCAGGTGGTAGTTATGCATTTAACTCTATTTGCACCTAAGACAAGTGGAGGCTAAGCTGGAATGTTACATAACACTGGGAATAGGGTTCCTGTTGCCCAATCTATGGGCTTTGGGTGTTGGTTGTTTTGTTTTTAACTCAGTCTCATTGACTTTGAATCAAACTGAATATATTAGCCTTCTAAGTTTACTATACTGTGGTTTAATTCTTTGTCTGTTCCTTCCAATCATGTTGAGTTTGGTAGAGAATGATTTTGTATTTGGTAGTACTTAGTTTTTCTATGCCTCCTTCTCTTTCTCCTGTTTCTTCCCCCTTCTCCCCTTTTTCCTCTCTTTCTTCCCTTCTCCTCCTCCCTTCATTTTTGACTGCATTTTATACAGCCCAGCCTGGCCTTGAATTTACTGTGTGGTCAAGGATGACCTTGAACTTGATTCTCCTCTCCACCATTAGCTGGTTTATGTGGTGCTGGAGATTCAACCCAGGGCTGTGTGCACGCTATGTAGTCCCTCCACCACCTGAGATACATACCCAGTGCCTTAGCTCCCTTTACTTTTATTTTGAGACAGGGTCTCACTGAGTTGTCCAGGTTGACCTGAATTTGTGATCCTTCTATCTCAGCCTCTCAAGTAGCTGGGCTCGCAGGTCTGTGCCATCAAGTCTGGTTGATGTTTTACATTCCATGTCTTTTATTATAACCAAAGTTGAATTATGTTATATATTACTACTTCTACTTCTTTTATTTTTTTTTAACATATTGACTTTTGTGATTAGTTCTTTTCTGACAAGGTTATTTAATTCTTTTTTAAAAAATCCAATTTCTTTCCTTTCTTAAAACTTTTATTCTCTTATACATTATATCCTGACTACAGTTTCTCCTTCCTCCTTTCCTCCCAGTCCAGTCCTGCCCTCCACCTGCCCTCTCTGCCAGATCAACTTCTCCATTTCCCTTCAAAAGGAAGGAAAGAAGGAAGAAAGAAAGCAAGTAGGCCTCCCAGGGATACATTTAGCATCATCATTGAGAACTCCATTTTTAGTTTGGTCAGTGAAAAGCTTGTAAAGTTTAAGTGGTAAAGTAGGAAAATGTTTAATTACTTGAACTTTATTTTAGGTAAATTTGAAATAAAGTTTCTGGTTGTGTGTGTGTGTGTGTGTGTGTGTGTGTGTGTTTGAGCCATACATAATGCCTTTGTCTTACTGTCAGTGTGAAATGCCATTTGTCATTTATGTTCCAGTTTGGAAAATGATCATGACTCCCAGAGGACGAAGAAGGCTCTCTCAGCAGGGAGGGCAAGGGAAGGAGGGAGGTTGGAGGTGGCAGTCTTGACCATCATTCTCCTGACATTCTTTAGGGTGATGAAGAAACGTTTGAAAATTACTACCGGAAGCAAAGGAAGAAGCAAGCACGCCTGGTTCTGCAGCCGCAGTCGAGTGTGGTGAGTCCCAGCCCCTGTGCCGTGACCTGTGTCATCAGCCTGTCCCTGGCTGTAGTTTTCAGAGCATGTAAATATTTATTGAACACCTACCATTTCTAGTAATTGACTTAGGTGCCAAATGTACAATAGTGAGCAAAGCTGGGTCAGTCTCTTCTCTCATGAGTTTATATTCTATTAGGAAAGATAGACGTTGAATTAAATACAGATGAACAATCACAATGTCAGGCAGCGGTAATTTGTTTCTCACACTATGGTAAATTGTGTGCTATGATTCTTTGTCACACTGAACAAAAGTTGTTTACTGAAGACAGTAGATAGACTTTTTCTTTGTATTTTTATTTTTAATTATGTGTATGTGGCTGGGGTAGGTTTGTTTATGTGATTAGGTTACCTTCAGAGGCCAGGAGAGCATGAGATCCCCTGAAACTGGAATTACAGGTGGTTGTCAGCCTCCTCATGGGTGGTAGGAACTGAACTTTGGTCCTCTGTAAGAGCAGCTAGGGCTCCCAACCACTAAGCCATTTTTCTAGCCTCTGAATAGAATTTTTTTAAAATTAGATTTTTCTTAAATGTATTAGGGATCTGGCAGTAAATATAATTAATTCAAAACCTTTGATTGTGGTGACATTTACATGACTAAATCTGTTTGTGAAAGTTCATAGATAATACACATGAAAACTACCTCAAAATATCTGACTATAACCTAAATGAAGGCAGAAACCCAGGTAGGTTTAATGAGACATTGAGTGTAACTTTTATCCTAAAATGATCTCTGGGATAAGAAAGAGTGAGTTTGAGTGATATAGGGCCAGATCTAGAGCCCTTCAAGCAGATGCCCTGAACGAGGTCTCCTTTCTTATAATCAGGGGCTTTAGGGGGTGTAAAGCCCATTATTAAGATAATCAATAGATAAAACTATCTAAAAACCTTTCTCAACAATTAATGACAAATAAACTAGCCTTAAAAACAGACAAGAGTTTTAAACAGACATCTTATTACAGATACACAAATGTTCATTATTACTTTTCATTAGGAAAAGGTAAGTAAAAGCTACAGTGAATTACCAAGTGGTGTGGGAGAATTGTCTGTATTCTGTCAATTATGTTTTTAAATAAATGCTGATTGGCCAGGCAGGGAGTATAGGCGGGTCAACCAGACAGGAAGTAGAGGCAGGGTGATGAGAACAGGAGTATTCTGGGAAGAAGGAATCTCCTTTGCCATTCCTGCCTACACCACTGAGAAGCAACATGTGACCTGCCCCTCTGTGAAAGGTACTGAGCCATGTGGCTAACATAGATAAGAAAAATGGTTTTTAATATAAGCTACAAGAGCTAATAAGAAGCCTGAGCTAATGGGCCAATCAGTTTATAAGTAATGCAAGACTCTCTGTGTGATTTTCTTTGGGGCTTACCGGCTGTGGGAACTGGGCAGGACAGAAACCCCAACAAGCAGACTCTTGTATTACAGTTAAAAGTTACTCTTCTGGAGGAACTGACACCTTCTTATGTCCTCCTTGGCACCACATGCACATGATATAGAGTTATGCACTCAAGCAAATACTCATAACCATAAAATGAAAATAAATATTCCTTCCCCCCCTGCTCCGTGTGTGTATATGAGTGCTACAGTACATTTGTGAGATCAGGGGACAACTTGAAGGAGCTAGTTCTTTTTACCATTTGATTCCTGGTGATTGAACTCATATTGTAGGCTTAGTGGCAAGTGGCCTTTACCTGCTGAGCCTTCTATTCAGCACTTGTCATGTTTTTAAGTTAAAAAGTATTAACAAGGCAGGTGAGATGACTCAGAGGATAAGGGCACCTACCTCCAATCCTGAGACCTGAGTTCAGTGCATGGGACCCACAGGGTGGAATAAAGAACAGGTCCCTGCAAGCTATTCTCCATACGTGTAAACAGACACACCTAAATAAATGTAACACAAATAATTAATACTTATTAACATTAATAATGATCCTCACTTCCTTCAATTGAAAGAGACCCTGATGTTTGAAAATCTTACCACATTTATGGAATCCACTGTCTTAGTTTCTTTTCCAGTTGCTGAGATAAAATAACCTGACAAACTCAGCTTGGGGGGAAAGATTGTGTTAGCTCACAAGGCCAGGCCACTGTCCCTCGAAGCAGGAGGACCACAGTTTCAGGAATGAGAGAGCTGGCCACAGTAACTCCACGTTTAGAAGAAGAGCGCAGGCTCCAGGCATGCTTCTGCTCCACTCTTTCTTTTAAAATGGATGAATGAATGAATAAACAGATGAAAATTCAGGCCTCAAGTTCAGAAAATAGTGCTGCCCACTTTTAGAGTAGGTCTTCTCAAAATGAAGTAATCAAAGTAAATCCTCCCAGAAATGCCCATAAACCAACTTAACCTAGATAATCTCATACTGAGGCTCCAGACTGTGCTGACAAGTAAAATCAACCGTCATCTAGAACTTACTTGGGATATAATGTGGTTCATATAAACAAATTTATGGATAAAAATCAGATAGAGTTTTCCTCTATGTTTTTGTTAAAGGTTTATCAGACAATTGCCCATGTTTTTCAGTGTCTGTTAATGCTCATGTGTGTGCAGGTGCATATGGTGGGTGAGTGTGTTGGCGGGCAGAGGACAACCTTGACTGTTCCTTAAGTGCTGTCCTTGTATTTTAGAAAAATAAATTTTTAAATTTAAATATAATTGTGTCACTTTTCTTCTTTTCAACTCTTCCCATGCCCCACCTCCTTCTCAAATCAATAGCCTCATTTTCTTTGATTATTATTGCTATGTATATATCAATATGACCTACTGAGTTTATTTTTGTTGTTTATGTATATGTGATTTCAGAAATGACCACTTTGTATTGGATTTTTTTTAAAGAGATACAGAGTATCTATTGGTCTAGGTCTTGCCAAGTTGGCTAAGCTGGCTAACTGGCAAGTGAGCCCCAGGGATCTACCTGTCTCCCTTACACTGGGACTGCAAGCATGTGCCATAATACCTGACTTTATTTTATTTGTTTTTAGAATTTATTTAATTTTTAATTACATGTGTAAGTGTGTATGGGTATGTGAATGTGGGTGCAGGTGCCCATAGAGGCCAGAAGAGGGCATCAGATCTGGAACTGGTTGTGGGCCATTGACATGCAAGCTGGAAACTGAACTTGAATATTTTGCAAGCGCAGTAAGCGTGTTAATTGCTATACCATCCCTCCAGCCCTACATCTGGCTCTTTGAACATAGCTTTTAGAGACCTGAACTCAGGTTCTCAGGCTTATAAACAGCCACTTTACCAGCTGAGTTATTATCCTGGTCCACGTTTTTTTTTCACGATATGTTTGTATGTGTTGTGTATTTCACAGTTTCATGTGTCTATACACGTTTTTTCGTGTGTGTATGTGTGTGTGTGTGTGTGTGTGTGTGTGTGTGTGTGTGTGTGTGTGTGAATGCATGTATGTACATGCTAGTATTGTGGAGGCTGGAGGTTAACGTAGGGAAATTATCCTCAATCTCACTTTCACTTTATTCTTTGAGGGAGAGTCTCTAATTAAACCCAGAGCTCACTGTTAGTCTTACTAGCCAATGTACTCTGGGGACCCCCTTCCTCTTCTACTGAGTCTAGAATTCCTGGTTGGCTACCACGTTCACCTAGCATTTACATGAGTTCTGACCCTCACACCTGCTAAGCAAGACTTCAGCTATCTCCCTAGCCATACCCCGGCCCATTTATTAGCTATTGGACTTTAATTATAGATGATATAAAAGTGTTATGGGTAGTATTTAAAAGGTTTTGGGCCTGGCAGTGGTGGCACACACCTTTAACCCCAGTACTTAGGAGACAGAAGCAGGCAGATCTCTGTGAGTTCAAGGCCAGTGTGGACAACAGAGTGAGTTCTAGGATAGCAAGGCTATTACAGAGAAACCCTGTTTCAACCCCCGCCCAAGTTTTTTGTAGAGGATATATGTTCTCATCGCTAATTGCAATCTATCACCTGATAGCTGTGTGAGAATAGATCATAGTGGGAAGTCTAGAATCTGAGTCTATGTAGGATGGTTTGGTATTAGCTCAAGTGAAAGACAGAAGTAGCCTCTGAAATCCCACTTACCTTTAGACTTATTTAATATCTCTCTCCTTTGGAATGTACATTCCATAAGGGCCTGCAATATGGCTCAGTGAGCAGGATGGCTCAGTAGGTAGAGCTGCTTGCCTGCTTTTGTTTGATTCCTGGAGCCCAAGTGAAGGCGGAAAGAGACAGCTAACTCCATATAGTTGTCTTCTGACCACTCCATGTACTGTGGCATGTGTGTCCATATATACACACATACAATAATAAAATTGTTTTTGAATGTACAGTCCATGAGAGAAAGAGATTTTTGTTAATTTGAAGTATCTGTGATACCTTATTAGTAAGTAGAACTTAGTAGGCTCTCAATAAATATTTTTCAGTCAAGTTATAGTGACTTGAAACTTTTGTTACTGTACTTATTGTTTTAAATTGATTTTTATTTTTCATTTTCAGCATGAAACAGTTGATGGCTATAGAAGATATTTCACTCAAATTGTAGGGTATGTATATAATATGGAAAAAACTATTACTAATTTCATTAAAGTTTGTTAAATGTCAAAAATAATTATTTTCTGCTTGAACTTTCTCCCTTCCCTAAACACATGCTATGTTGGTAATTGCCACTGTAGGTTCTTTGTGGTGGAGGACCACATTTTACATGTGACCCAGGGCCTAGTAACCAGGGCATACACTGATGAGCTGTGGAACATGGCCCTTGCGAAGATAATTGCTGTCCTTAGAGCTCACTCTGTAAGTCAGACCATTTACATTGACAATTACAATTCATTTTGATTTGTATGGTGTGGAAAGCTGCATCTTTATCACCCTCCCTCTAGGTAATTGCTCAGATTTGTAAGTAATAGCATCAAGGCTTCTGCCTGGTTATATTAGGCTGCAGTTCTGGAACTGCCTGGGGCTTCTCAAGATGTTTTTATTTAAGTCTTACAGAAAGGGAAGAATTAGGCTAGTCCCATTAGTCTCAACTGACCTCTTCATTAGATCACCGAGCAACACTGTGAAGAAAGAGGTTTTAATTATTTCAGATTTTTGGTTTCCAAAATCAACTCTATCATAAAACCCAATAAAGCTTGTTTGAGAATATTTATAGATTTTAAAATCTACAGTTTTTACAACTTGAACTCACTTGAAATAATAAACCTTCATGAGAGATTATTTTTTAATGACTTAAAATTAAATGACCAACTATTTTATTAATGCCCTTTGTGGAAACAGCTACCATGCTAGAGCTATAAGCATTATTAGGTTCATAATTGGTCAGTGTGACTTTAACTGACGATAGTTTTAGTAGTTTATCTCAAGTAAAGTAGCCCTATATTTAAAATTTTGTAATTAGTTACTATAATTGGTAATTAAGATTTAAAAGAGGTGAAAGAAAATTTTTATCGTATTTAGATTACTAATATACTTTATTTATGTGTACTAGAAGTATAGAATTATGATAAGAAATTTTGATTTGTGAAACATTGCAATAAAACTTTAAAAAATGTTTTAGTGAATAAAGTATTTTGGGGCTGTTGGGCACGAAATTCAGGGTCTCATGCATACTAGCAGGTGCCCTGCCCCTGAGCTAACCGTGAATGCTGCATTTTATCATGGTTTATATTGAAATCAGCTCTAAATAATACATTTATGCCATAGTCCTCTTAATTCCATGACATTAAATATGAAATTATAACATAGTAAATATAACATCATGTTCAAAATCTTTTTGTTGTTGTTGGCTTTTTGGTTGTTTTTCCAAATAGGGTTTCTCTGTGTAGCCCTGGTTGTCCTGGAACTCACTCTGGAGACCAGGCTGATTCACAGAGATCCATCTGCCTCCCAAGTGCTGGGATTAAAGGCATGTGCCATGACCACCTGGCTCACATTTAAAATCTTAAGTGTTATTAAGAGGCGCTGTATTGCTCTGTTATTTTAAAAGTATTCATTTTCTTTCAGCTAGTTACTAAGAAATACTTATTGCCATTCTTATGTTGGGAAAGGTAGTATCTATGTCTTTTATTAGATGGAGAATACATGAATAATGAAAGTAGAAGTGTATGGTGTATATGGAGACCACTGCTAGCGTTTGTAATTAGTTTCTCAGCAGTCTAAAGATTTGCAGAGATACAGCATCCCTTCTTTCACATGACCTTTTACAGAGCATGCTCCATTCTCCTCTTAATCACGTAACTAAGGCGAGGCAAGCACCTTGTATCTAAGGAACCCAGATTTTAATTTTATTCTCAGACTCCCAGATTGAAGGAAAAGTTTTAGGTTCTTATTTCTTAATTTTAACTTGTTTCTATTTTTCTATGTGCCACCCCTGCCCTGCCCCTCTTCCCCAACCCCACAGTCTTACTGCACTGACCCTGACCTTGTTCTGGAGTTGAAGAATCTCATTGTCATTTTTGCAGACACTTTGCAGGTGGGTGCTAACCTAACGTGATTGGTGGCAATTTCAGGTGTGCAAAGACATAAAAAATATAGGCTACATTTTATTGTATTGTAGATTAATGGTAGTAAGTCAATAGTAATAAATGCTTACTTATAGATTGACATTCTCCTACCCAAAATGATATGCAGTGCCTCCTTTGCAGGTTTGAAGCTTGGACAAAGCTCAGGAGACACTGGCACCTTTTAAAATATGAGTCATTTCAGTAAGAATATAGTCTTTTTTAACTTTAAAAAAGGCCAGATATGGTGGTGCCTGTCTGTAACCTCTGCTTTCAGGAGACTGTATCAGGAAGATCTTGAGTTTGACCCAGCTTAGGCTAAATAGTGAGCTCTCAGGGTCAGAGTAGGGTAATTACCCACTACATAGGGAGATCTCATGTTGCTGTTGGTGAGGTGACTCAGCAATAAAGGTAGCTGCTACCAAGCCTAAGGACCCGAGTCCCATCACTATGACCCACATAATGGAAGGAGAGAACTGACTCCCACAAGATGTCCTCTGCCTCCATGTATGTACCCCTCGCACACAGGTAAATAAATAAGTACAATAAAAAATTTTAAGGTACCAGTAGTTTAAAAATATTTCAGAAATACTAAGTGAAATAAAACGGGTTTTTCTGTCAGTTCTCAGAACAAAGGTATACCTTAGTCTTCCAAAGGGACATGGTTTTGCAGTATTTCCCAGTTTATGTGACTATGTGGTATTCCTTAGTCATGTGATTGACTACGCAGTGTTCCCTAGTATAAGTGACAATGCAGCATTCCCCAGTCATGTGACTATGCATTATCTCCAGTACATGTGACTATGCAGTGTTCCCAGTACATGTGACTATGCAGTATTCCCAGTACATGTGACCTTTGAACCTTTTTCTTTCTCTTAGAGCATTTTTTAAAATCTGTAATTTCAAAAACTATGCTTTGGGGCTTGAGAGATCCATCATCATTTAAGAGTCCACATTGTCCTTCTAGAGGACATGAGTTTGGTTCCCAGCACCCTTGTCAGGTGGCTACAATGATCTGTAAGTGTAGCTGTAGGGAATCTGATGCCTCTGGCTTTTGGGTACCTATACACATGTGGCATACACAGACAGACATACAAATATGCTTTTTAAGGTTTGGAAAATGGTGGTATGAACTATTTGCTTTATTATAAATAGAGTCTTTGAATAGTTGTTTTCTTCTTAAAGAAAAGAAAATACTGAACCAGCTTCTTTGTAAATTATTTTTATTATCTATTGATTAATTTGAAATTTGATATCCCCAGAGTAATGCAGAATGTCTTGGTTGCTTTTTTCCCATAAATTTTGTGATATGTGTATCTATCATACTGATCTCCTTGCATTGATAAGTTTTGTTTGGGACTTTCTTAATTTTAGGGGCTCCTCTATGAGCAACTCAACTCAAGCTTTCCTTAACGATTTGAAACATTCAGAGAATGCTCTTTAAACTGTAATCAGTCTGTCAATTGCTTGTTAGGTTCATAACAAAATAAAGTGATGGGATCATGAAGCACAAAGTTTAGCTCTGTTGGCATCCTTCTGGGATATGCAAGATTTACTCCAGTCTAAGTAGGATCATGGGTTTATATTGTAGTGCAAACACCTTATCTCCTTGTAAGACCATTGCAAACAGTTCTAAGACCAGTGTTTTGAAAATAATTGGATCTAGAGTATTTGATAGATTCTACGCTACAGAGAACCAAATATGTTAAGGAGGTTTAAGTAATGGAGACATTAGAAAAACAACAATGTTGTTTATGTAAACTTTTGAAAGCACACTTTTTCGTTGAGACCATGTCTTGTGTCTTGTTATGTACCCCAGGCTAGCCTTGAATTCCTTATTTCCTATCTCCACCTCTTGATAAGCTCCACCTGCCTAGGTCTTCCTAAACTTACTACTGCTTTGAAATAAGACATTAGTGATTTTTAGTTATTTAGAAATTCTTCATTATTTTCATTTTTCTTGAAAACTGATAGGTTCATTATTAGGTATTTTTATGCTACATTAATGAATGCTATCTTTTTAATTTATGTCTTCTCATTGAAGAGTCAATATCTTTTCATAAAGACAAAAGAATGTTTCATAATTTTTAGTTTTTTAAATTGACACTTTTAACACCTTAAAGAACTTTTACTTAAAAAAAAGTGTAGGGCTGGAGAGAGAGCTCAGAGGTTAAGAGCACTGTTGCTCTTGGAGAAGACCTGGGTTAGGTTCTCAGTGCCCACATGGCAGCTTGAAACCATTTGTAACTCTAATTCCAAGGATCTGATGCTCTCTTCTGGCCTCTGCATGTAGTACACAAACATACATGCATGTAAAAATACATATGCATAAAAATAAATAAATAAACTTTTGATTTTTAAGAAAAAATAATGTTTTAATACATTTTGAGTTTATATTTTGGCGATTTCATGCATGAATATAATGTATTTAGAATATTCTACCCCCGACTTCCATATTTCAACTCCTCCTGGCGTCCTTTCCACATCCTCCTCCCAGCTCCATTGTGATGGTGGTCATAGTCATTGATGCCATCGTCATCCTCCTCAGCCTTTTCTTTGAAAAGAAGAAATCATTTTATCATGTATGACAAAGCTGATAAAATCATACCATAAAAGGTAACATGAGTACATTTATAGTTCTGATTCCCTTTTGTCAAGTCAAAGGCAGGTGTTTGTTTTATTCATTGATATTTTTCTGAGCAAACGTTACATGCTAGAAGATAGTTGATGTGTAAAATAGTAGAGACGTGTGGTGTGGATATGAGAGAATGACTAAGTTCCTTGATGGTGTGGAAAACTGTTGTGTATGAGTGTAAAAAAATTCAGTAGTGAAGAAGTTCAGATTGTAATGGTGAAACCTTATTGAAGATAGTTTTGTTTAGGTCAGTGAGTGTTTTAAACATACTTGATTTACCTTTTTTTTTTCCCTCTGTGTCTTAGGGTTATGGTTTTCCAGTCAACCGGCTTTTTGACCTTTTATTTGAAATAAGAGATCAATACAATGAAACGTTGCTTAAGAAATGGGCTGGTATTTTCAGGTGGGTCTGCACCGTAGTTCCTTAGTATAATGAATAAGTTTGTCGAACACCTAACCAGTTGGTTTTGCATATAGTAGTAAGAATGCTTGTGTTCAGTTTCTGTTGTGGTAAAATGCACACTTTGATAGCTAAATCGTGTGTAAGTTTACAGGGCCATGTCTAACATTCAACATTTCATCTCTAGAACCCTTGCAGGTTCCCAAACAGAAAGTAACTCGGATCCTCCTTCCTCTAGCCCCCACAACCACTATTTTGTCTCTAAATTTCATTACTCTAGAATCTCATGTAAGTGGGATTGTGGAATATTTGCTCTTTTGTGTCGGCATGGGTTCACCTAGCTTGCCCTTGTGCTGTGTTTATGTTGTCCATCGGCCAGAAGTGCATTCCCTTTTAAGTCTAGGCCATATGCATGTGTCTGCCAATGTTCTCTACTCATATTAATAGATATCTAGGTTGTTTGATTGGCTGTTTTAATATTGTCATAAGCACGAGTATGCCAGTATATCAGTACCTGTTTTAGATATTTTGGGTTTTTTTTACTCAAAATACTGGATCATATGATAATATATTTTTCATTTTTTAAAAAACTGCCATATTGTTTTCCATAGTGAATGAACCATTTATAATCAATTTATTTGTACTTTAGTATCTGTAATTTTTCCAGTAAATGATCACATACTTATAAGGTTGTAAGTATTTCAAGATATTTTATGTTGGAGACAGAAATTTATGCTTTTTAAGTCTGGCTTGGGGAAGGTGCTGTTTATACAACTTAGCTGTCCCAAAGTCTCTAAGAAAAATGAATGTATTTTTCACAATCACTTGCCCTACCTTTACCCACTGGACTCTCACTGCCCCCCTTACCCTCTGGACTCTCACTGCCCCCCCTTACCCACTGGACTCTCACTGCCCCCATCCTTACCCACTGGACTCTCAATGCCCCGCTTACCCACTGGACTGTCACTGGCCCAGACCTTTTTCTTTTAGAATAGGTCATGTCAGTTTCCAGGGTGAGATCACTCTATGGCCCACACAGGCCTTGAACTTGTTTGCTGCCCCTGCCTTCTGTGTGGCTGAAGTTATAGGTGAACTAAATAAGATTTAGGAGTTTTCTTTGTCAGGATCCTGGCACAGATGGGTAATGGACAATATTTGTATATAACTGTCATCAGTTTTATAGCATCTATTTTCAAGGTAGTATTTATGGCTAGAGGCAGTGATCTATGACATAGTCCTAAAATTTTGTATGATAATATATTTTTACGTATAAAATCTTAGCATTCATGCTGTGTAATTGAAGGCCTCTTTAGTAGTTTTTCTAACTCTGGTCAACTGTCTTAAGACTGCTAGCAGGGTCATTACTCCCCAAAACTATGGGCTGTGAAATATGTTTTCTCACTGGAAAGCTAAAGTGTTTGTTCAAATAGAGATAGAATAGACATAAATAGAATAGAATAGATTTCATCATCCATAGCAGTTGTGGAGGAAAACAAATAACATTTCAGTTGTAATACTTAAGTCTCAAATACATTTCAATTTCTACTTTTAATACCATCCTAAGTAGTGCTTTTTGCCTAAAAAGGATTTAAGCTTTCCTTACCCCCGACTAGCGTCTTCAAATGCCTTACAAGTAGTGAACTGTCAATTAATAGTAAGATGGGAGAAGTAAATGCTCACCAATACTGATAATTACAGTCTGGCTTCTTCCATGACAGAATTTATTATCTGATTAATATTGTAGTATTTTGTCTATGTGTAATTTGAGTTGTAAGCATGAATGATTTTTGTAAAGTTTTTTTAAACTTTATAGAGTTTGTTTATCTATTTATTCATTAATTTTTCAGACAGGGTTTCTCTGTGTAGCCCTGGCTGTCCTTGAACTCACTTCTTAGACCAGGCTGACCTCAAACTCAGAGAGATCCACTTGCCTCTGCCTCCCAGGTGCTGAGATTTATTTTTAAAAAAAAAACTGAGTGTTTTTATTTTTAATAGACAAATATGAAGTAATATATTTATATAAATATATTTAATACATAAATATTTTATAGAGTACATAGTTTAATATAGCTATGCATTATGGGTAGCAAAACCAAAAGAATATACTCATTATCTTACATTTAAAAAACCATTTATTTTATTGATATAATTTTTTTTGGATTATTGAAAGGAATAAAAGGGCGGGAAAGTATTGACAGTTTCATAATGATCCTGAGTTCATCAGTCATCTGTGTGTGACTTCTTATAACATCAGGTATCACATAGAGCACTGAAGAAGAAGAAATCTGTATTGTGAGCTGGGTGAGGTGGCGCACGCCTTTAATCCCAGAACTCTGGAGGCAGAGGCAGTGGAGCTCTGTGTGTTCGAGGCCAGCTTGGTGTACAGAGCAAATTCCAGGAAAGCCAAAGCTTCACAAGAGTAACTCCATGTTGATTGTTTGTTTTGTTTTTAGAGACAGGGTTTCTCTGTAGCTTTGGAGCCTGACCTGGAACTAGCTCATGTAGACCTGGCTGGCCTTGAACTCACAGAGATCCCCTTGCCTTTGTCCCCTGAGTGCTGGGGTTTAGACATGCACTACACTGAAAGCCCGTGTTGAAAGCAGATAAAAAGAAAGAGAGAAATCTGTATGGCAGAAAGTGGAGAAAGAGTCTGTGAAGTGCCTTCAGCATCACCCTGTCTTGCCTTATTTATTTTTTGTCACCACTAAGCCCTTAAGTCTGGGAGCAAATTGGTAAATTGTTGTTAGATTTTCTCTCTCTGCAATAAATATTCTGTCTTTTTTTGAAGTAAACATTGTGAATTGCAGTCATCCTATGCAGTCATCCTACTGTGTGACAGTCCTCAAAAGCTATGTCCCCTGTCTGGTCCTTCATCTATTTCACCCTCTGTTAACCTCCAGTCCACTTTCTGCTTCAATGAGTTTGGCTTTTTTAGATTCCATATGTAAGTAAAGCCATGCAGTATTTGTCTTCTAAACCAGGGATTATTTCATTTAGCGTGATGTCCTAAAGGTTTGTCTGTGTCAGTGCAAGTGATAGAATTTCTTAATTTTTAGGGCAGCATAAACCGTTGCGTACATAAAACATATTTCTGTGAGTTCATGATCATCCTAGTATACATACTGAGTTTCAGGCCAGCCAGGGCTACACAGTGAAACCCTGCCCCCCCAAAAAACCAAAATAAACAAATAAACATAAGTCAGTTGATTGGTATAAGCCAAGTGGGTCATAATAGTCCTCCAAGGCTCAGTGGTGAAGGTTGCTTATTTCTGACACCAGAGTCGAGATCTGAGTGACTTTGGTTGTAATTACAACTCCTGAACCCATTGTCTCCCGGGAGAGTAAGGTCAGCTCAGAGCAGTGGGCATCACTTCCACAGTGGCTAACCACTTCATCATGTCTACCACAGCCCTGTCTAACTGCAGGAGGTCTGCCTAGGCGAACACACAGTAACTAGGAGGTGCCTTTTCCATCCACGGTGGGCGGAGACTGAGTAGTAGACACAGCATTTTATCTTCGGAACTTCAGCTTTTTCAGAAGGCATCATCTTGAGAGATAGCCTGGACAGGAAAGGTAAAAATGAAGTTCCGCGAGGATGTGAAACTAGAACCAGGACTCTGGAAACGAATTCTAAGACAAGAACCATTCTGGATTTTAGAATTCTGGGTGATGAGTGTTTTTCTGTTGTGACTTTTAATTGGCAAAATAAACAAAAGTGTAGGAGCTGCTTTTGGTTTTGTAAAGATACTGTTCTACAATAATCTAATGACACAATAATAAGATTTGAACTTTTCTTATTTAACAGGGATATTTTTGAAGAAGATAATTACAGCCCCATTCCTATTGGCAGCGAAGAAGAATATAAAGTAGTTATCAGTAAATTTCCCTTTCAAGATCCCGACCTGGAAAAGGTACAAGCGAGTTTTTCACTAAAGGATTAAGAAAAAAACCAAATCATTATATTTATTGCTTATATGACTTGCTCATGGCTTGTTTAGACTGCTTTCTTAAAGAACTCAGAATAACCAGCCCAGAAATGTGCGCACACACTTTCTATGAAAGATTATTTTTATTAAATACAAGATATGTGATGGTAGTAGCTGCCTGTAGATTTCTTCTGGAAGAAGGAATATGTGTTCAGAGTCAAAATAGCAATGTAATTTTTTATAATTGTGTACACATACATGTGTACACACATGCATAGTCACACATATCCATTATCTCTGGGTCGAACTAGGTCTCAGAGGAAAAAAATACTATACTTTGCAACCAAGGTAGAAGGTGAGGATTGATACTGAGGCTGTCCTATGGCCTTCACACAATCACTGTGGAATGCATTGTCCCCATACGGATGCAAAAAATGCATACATGAACATGCACACAACTCTCAGACACAAAATCCAAAGTGAATATTATATTTTGCATAGTAATCACCTTTTAAATTTTTATTTTTCTCTTATTTTTGTTTTTCTAGCTCTTTGAAATTTATTTAGGACAAAGCTGTGAGTCGTAGCAATAATAAAGAGATAGCTGAGTAAGAGAAATAGAGCAGGTAGAGAAGCTGAAGGAGAGAAAGCCAGGCTTGGGCAGGATCTCAGGGAGGAAGGAGAGTTTGTTTCAGAAGAAGAGGCCACTGCACCAGGTCCTCAGAGAGGCCAAACGGACTTAACTAGGGAGTTGGTAGTGGTCTAGTGGGGCCTGCTCACAGACATAGCAAGGGTGCAATCAGTATGAAGGTAGACGCCTAGTTAACTCTAAAGAATAAATGAGGGACTTTGGGGTTAAGATCTTGGAAGATTTTCCGTTTTTGGTGATTGAGAATTTTCAAGTGAATATTGGCTGATAAAATGGTTTAGAAGTAAATCATGGCAAGGTGATCAGAAAAACTAAGATATGTTCTGAAACTTGGACTACAGCGGATGCCATCTTAAGTGACCTCACACCTTCAGTGACACTTATATGAGGGTTGTTACTGTTGCTAAGAACCTGGGCTGAGGAGATGGCTCAGTAGGTAAGAGCGTTTGCTGCATAAATGTGAGGACCTGAACTCGGATCCCCAAGCGCCCACATAATAGCCAGATTAAGCTATGTCTGCCTATGACCCCTGTGCCACCATGGTGCAGAGACAGGAGAATGGCTGACTGCTGGCCTCCTCCAGACTCAGCAAGAGACTCTTCAAGGGAGTAAGGTGAAGAGCGGTAGAGCAGGTACTTGGTTTTCTCTTTTGTGCATACACCAGGTAGACACTTCACATCATATGCAAATACATACTTATTAAAAATAAACAACAAAAACAAACAAAACAAAACAAAACAAGCCCAAACAAAAGCTCTCTGAGTCAGAAAACTGGTCTGTTCTTTTCATGGCCACCCATCTCTTGTGACTAGAAAGAAGCAAACAGCTAAGCATGGCCTGTGTAGTGCTTGTGTTACCAGGACACAAAGTAACGTTGACATGTGCAGTCTGTGCTCAGCAGAGTCTGATACTATGATCTAAGCATAGGATTAAGTGACTGTACTCTTTTGTTTTGTTTTGTTCAGACAGGGTTTCTCTGTATAAATCTGGATTTTTCTGGTGTAAACCTGAAATTTGCTCTATAGACCAGACTGGCCTTGAACTCAGAGATTCACCTGCTTCTGCCTCTCAAGTGCTGGGATTAAAAGTGCGTGACATCACTGAAGGCAATGGCTGTGCTTTAAAAATAGATAAATAAATAATAAAGTATTTGTTTAAAATTAAAAGTAGGCTAGACATGGCAGTACATGCCTGTAATCCTAGCCTTTGGGAAACAAAATCAGGAGAACTACAGGTTCAAGACCAGCCAGGAGGCTACCTAGTGAGATTCTGTCTCAAAACAGCTAGCTAACTAACTAAATAAATAGATGAAAGTTAAAAGCATAAAGCAGAACAGATAAAAATAATGTAGAAATATAACCATAGAATTTTATGCAACTATATCAATTGTGAAATCATCTTTACTTTTTACCTTTATAGAGGCTAGAATGTTTTTTTTAAAGTCTCAGAAACAGTTTTCACTTTCTCTTTACAGCAATCTTTCCCAAAGAAGTTTCCCATGTCCCAGTCAGTGCCTCTTATTTATATTCAAGTTAAAGAATTTATTTATGCCAGCCTTAAATTTTCAGAGTCCCTACACCGAAGGTAAGCTCATTAACGTGAAACCTGCTTTAAGGAAGTGCCAGTACTTTCTTTCCAAACCATGACTCTTAGTGACCTGTCATCTGGTTGGAAAGGCTTCATTATTTGAGTTATATTCAGGTTAGGTTGCTGTAACTATCTTATTTAACTTTCTGTTTTTTTGATGTTGAGACACATATGACACAGATGATTTGATGGGAAAGTTCTTTGCCTTCAGCATCTAGATTTAACAGTAATAAATATTTTGTCACATATCCTTTGCCTATATATTGTTAGTAGTAGTATTTTATTCTGTGGGTGTAGATGTTTTGCCTGCATGTATGTATGCATACCTGGTGCCCAAGAAGACCAGAAGAGGGCATCAGATCCCTGGAGTTGCATTTGGTTGTGAGCCACAGTGTGGGAGCTGGAACAGCAGCTATGGATCTTAACTGCTGAGCCGTCGCTCCAGCCCCTTCGTCTCTCTTAAAAGACATGTGAAGGGAGATTTCATCAGCAATGACCTTTTACCTTGAAATATTAACATTCATTCAATTGCATTCCACTTCAGTTCTACAAATTATTCCTAAAACTACAGAGCTAAATCTGAAACAGTAACTGCTTTAAGATTTTGTAAATTGGTAATGTATGCAGTTTGACTATTCTTACAAATACTTATGTCTAAGCTAAATGTTGATTCTTGGAATACAGAAATTCATACTTAATTAACCTACTGTTAAATTTGGAGAAGTATAGAAATTTGACATTTTGGAATAGCTTTATATAAAGGCTGATAAAATTTTACTCATATTTAAGACAGGAGTTCTAATGGGATAATTTTGGTTTTCCCTGCTGAAAACTATTTCCTTGCAATTTGCAATACCTAGCCTAGGGACATTTTTGATTGTCATGCTGTAGGTAGGAGTGCTACGTGGATAATTCAGGTAGGGACCAGAGGTGCATCAGATCTCACCATCTCCTACTGCTCTGGTATTGTATGGCCTCGTATATCCCAGGCAAGCACTTTACCACCCAGCTGTACCCCTAGTCTCGCTATTTGTATTTTAGAAATAACTTTTAGCTCTTACTGTATATAAAGTGACTTACAAACTGACTGCTTTACAATAGAATTATAATAATGCTTTGTACAAAGTAGCTCATGATCTTTTATATTGATTGATTTGGTATATTTAAGTTATGTTATAAATGAACATTCTGCTTTAGGGGAAATGATCACTTTTAAAATGAAATTGAAGTTTGTAGCTCAATAAATTATTGCTATTTATATAATATATACATGCATATGAAAATAAGGTTATATGATTTTATATGATACAAAAGATAGGACATAGAAAAATTACTTTAGTAAGTTATATTACATTATTGAGAATGTTAACTAATTGTGGTCTTGGGAAATTTTATCAATATTAACATTTGTTTTTAGCTCAACAGAAATAGATGATATGCTTAGGAAATCAACAAATCTGCTGCTGACCAGAATTCTGAGTAGCTGTTTACTGAACCTTATTAGAAAACCTCATATAGGTTTGACAGAGGTAAGAAGAAATAATATAATCAAATGTTCTATTTGGAAAAATTGGGGCCAGAGAGATTGCTCAGAGAAAGAGCGTATAATTGCTCTTACAGAGGACCTGGGTTAGATTTCCACTACACACATGGCAGCTCATAACCATCTGCAACTTCAGTTTCAGAGGACCTGATGCCTTCTTCTGGCCTCTGTGAGCCCCAGGCATGCATGTGTTGCACAGACACACATGCAGGCAAAACACCCTTACACATCCAATAACAACAAAAAATGTGAAATGTTATTCTGTAGCTTTGCATTTAAAATTTATTAATGTAAGTATGCTTTTAAAAAAGTAAAAACATCAGTACAATTCAAAATGTGAGAGAGGAGCTAGAGAGATAGCTCAACAGTTAAGAGCACTATTTGTTCATCCAGAGGACCTGGGTTCAATTCCCAGCACCCACATGGCAGCTGGCAGCATCTGTAACTCAGATCCAGGGGGTCTGACACCCTCTTCTAGGCACCACCACTGCATGCACATGCTGTGCAAATAAGACACACATTGAAATTAAAAAAAAAAAACCTTAAAAAAAGGAAATAGGAGGGAAGAGTTTACTTGGGGGAGTAGTAGACAGTTGGAGGTGTGAAGGGAATAGACTTCAGCCTTTACATAGACAGTCACAATCCTCATTTTGTACTTGTTAAGTGTATGGGATCTGCAAATTGCTATGGAAAGTTATTTCAAAGTAATTGGCTGTGAACTCCTAATATGCCTATTTTTAAAACAACATTAATTCTTGTAAGAAGTATTTAGGATATACTTTGGAAGTCAGATAACCAGTTGTATCCTGTTTTGCTGGAATTATGCAGACACAGTACAAAGGAAGACTGGAAGTAATGATTGTGCTTTTTGAAAATCAAGTAGTCCTGCACAGGCATGGTCTGTATTTACTGTGGCTTTTGTGTGTTGTAGTTGGTGCAGATCATCATAAACACAACACACCTGGAGCAGGCCTGCAAATACCTGGAGGACTTTATAACTAACATCACGAACATTTCTCAAGAGACCGTTCACACCACAAGGCTTTATGGACTTTCTACTTTTAAGGTATCTAAAACCTGACCAAAAGCTTCTGCTCAATTATTGTATGAAAACTTTAAGAAATTAAAGAGAATTTTTATTATATTCTAAACACTGAGAATATATTAGAGATAATCACTGCCCATAATGATGATCAGTTGTGTGAGTTTCTCTTAGCAATTTAAGCATCTTAATGAAGTACTAAAAATAGTTTTGATTTTCTGTAATATAGTTTGTTCATGTTTTAATAATAAATGGTAGTACTGAATTAGACTAACTGAATATGTTCATAGTTTAATAAATGTACATGTTTGTGTTTATTTGGAAATTAAAAATGAAGTGTGAGGTTTGCTTTCTCTTCCTGTTTTGATATGAAGAAAAATAGATTCAAATCTCCTTTATGTCAGGATGAAAAGAGTTCAGTTTGTGTGAGACCATAGAATGTGCTGAGAGACTCACCAATTAATGGTGTTTAAGCAGAATACAAGATTAATTTCACGTTTTTTTATAATCTGATTTTCTTTATTCTTCTCCCTCTTTCCCTCTCTCTATCTTTTTCTTTTCTTCTTCTTCTTCTTTTTTTTTTTTTTTTTTTTTGGTTTTTCAAGACAGGGTTTCTCTGTGTAACAGCCCTGGCTGTCCTGGAACTCAGTTTGTAGACCAGGCTGTCCTCGAACTCGGAGATCTGCCTTTTCTACCTCCCGAGTGCTGAGATTAAAAGTGTGCACCACCATGCCTGACATAGCCTGTTTTCTTCCTCTGTTACTCCTCAGCTGTAGGTGAGCTGCTGACAGTGGCAGCTCTCTGTCGCTGCGATAGAACCCAAGAAACAGAGTGGCAAAGCCTGCTTTTGGCTGGCAGTTCCACAAGTTTCAGTCCAGGGTTCCTTGTCTTTATTGCTTTGGGTTTAGGATGAGGCCAGGCATCATATTGGTGAGTACACAGTAGTGCAGAGTGCCTCACCCCATGGCATCTAGAGTGCAGTCTTGTACTGGCCAGCTTCCTCCTCCTGCTAGTGTCCCTTCTGTGCCTCCAGGCTGTTGACACTGCCACCCACCTTCACTCAGGGCATTTGTTCCCCAACTCAGTTGTTCTTCCCTATGCTAGATGACATCACCAAGCACGAGGACCTGAGCTCAGATCCCCAGACTCCCCCCTCCCCAGAAGCTGAATACAGCTGTGTCTGTCTTCCCAGCACTTCTAGAGAGAGGACAGGGAGAAGAATCCTCAGAAGCTCCTGGGTCGGCCTCTCCTTTGAGACTGTGCTGTTGCTGTGAACACCAGGCTCGCTCTCTCTGCTGCCCATGCAGTGTAGGAATGCTGGGATTGCAGATGCCTGCTGTGGCACCCACTCTATGTTGGTTCTGGGGACTTGAACTCAGGTCCTCATGCTTGTGTATCAAATAAAGGCATCTTCCTAGCTTTTAAAATACACAGTTTCTGTCCATCTCATTGTCAAGTTTCTTCTCATGAGTGAATATTAGGTTTTCTTGGGATAATCTATTTTCCCTCTGTCTTTAGCATCAGTAGTGCCATTTGATGATGAATTGGATGCTGTATGCCATGTAATTCAAACCAGAAAGTTCAGTGTTCAGAAATGGTTTATTGGCATATTGTTTCTCAAGTCAGAATAAAAACTAGCTAAGTAGGACACATTTGTTGAGGTGGTTTCAACTTTCTCATTTCTATTTTTTGCTATATAAATATTTTTTATTAATATTTATTGAGCTGTACCTTTTTCTCTGCTCCCCTCCCTGCCTCTCCCCTCCCTCCTTCAATCTTCTCCCAAGGTCCCCATGCTCCTGGTTTACTCAGGAGATCTTATCTTTTTCTACTTTCTACTTCCCATGTAGATTAGATCTATGTAAATCTCTCTTAGTGTCCACATTGTTGTCTAAGTTCTCTAGGATTGTGGTTTATAGGCTGGCTTTCTTTGCTTTATGTTTAAAAACCATCTATGAGTGAGTACATGTGATAATTGTCTTTCTGTGTCTGGGTTACCTCACTCAAAATAATGTTTTCTAGCTCCATCCATTTTCCTGCAAAATTCAAGCTGTCGTTATTTGTTTCTGCTGTGTAGTACTCCATTGTGTAAATGTTCCATATTTTTCTTATCCATTCTTCTACTGAGGGTCATTTAGGTTGTTTCCAGGTTCTGGCTATGGCAAACAAAGCTGCTACGACCATAGTTGAGCACATGTCCTTGTGGCATGATTGAGAATTCTTTGGATATATACCCCAAAGTGGTATTACTGGGTCTTGAGGAAGGTTGTTTCCTAATTTTCTGAGAAATCGCCACACTGACATCCAAAGGGGTTCTACCAGCTTGCATTCCCACCAACAATGCAGAAGTATTCCCTTTTCCCCACAACCTCTCCAGCATAGGTTTTCATCGGTGTTTTTTGATTTTGGCCATTCTTACAAGTGTAAGATGGAATCTCAGAGTTGTTTTGATTTGCATTTCTCTATGACTAAGGACGTTGAACATTCCCTTAAGAGTCTTTCAGTCATTTTAGATTTCTCTTTTGAGAGTTCTCTGTTTAGGTCTGTACTCCATTTTTTTTATTGGATTATGTGATCTTTTGGTGTTCAATTTCTTGAGTTCTTTGTATATTTTGGAGATCAGACCTTTTGGAGTCTGATGTGGGGTTAGTGAAAATCTTTTCCCATTCTGTAGGCTGTGGTTTTGTCTTGTTGACAATGTCCTTTGCTTTCCAGAAGCTTTTCAGTTTCAGGAAGTCCCATTTATTAATTGTTCCTCTCAGTATCTGTGCTGCTGGGGTTATATTTAGGAAGTGGTTCCCTGTGCCAATGTGTTCAAGTGTACTTCCCACTTTCTCTTCTATAAGGTCCAGTGTGGCTGGCTTTATGTTGAAGTCTTTGATCCATTTGAACTTGAGTTTTGTGCATGGTGATAGATACGGGTCTATTTTCATTTTTCTACATGTTGATATCAGATTATGCCAGCACCACTTGTTAAATATGCTTTCTTTTTTCCATTTGATATTTTTTGCTTCTTTATCAAAGATTAGGTGTTCAAAGATGTGTGGATTGATATCCGGGTTTTCTATTCGGTTTCACTCATTTCTATTTTTAAGGCCTCCAAAAGGTTTTAATTTTAATCTAACTTAATTTTAATTTTAATCTAAATGATTAAAATTAATGTAGCCCTTTTTGTCCTTAAGTGTTTGAAGCTGCAGGGCGATTGGTAAAGAAAAGTCCCCAGACTATCTTGATACAAAATATATAGCTTTAATAAACAGAAGTAAGACTTACAACAGCTTACACCAGAATCCAACCGATCCGTCCGGACACAGGAGCCAGGCGAAAAGAGGGCTAGCGGAGCGCGTTTGCAAGGTTTATAGGCAGGCTTTTGCCTGAGGGCGGCACGCCCCGAAAACAGAATATGATTGGCTGAACTCCCCTATCATCTCCCCCTTTTTTCTAAAATAAGACAGAACCAAACCAAATACAACTATATGTAATAGAAGCAAATAATAAATATAAAGTTACAAACATCAAACAATGTTAAGCAAGAAACCTATAACAAAAGTTCTGCTAAACATTCTATCTCAGGGAGTCTAAATAATGTAGATGGTAACTACAACTATCTAATCTTCAACTCCATCAAAGATCTGAGAAGGAAAATAATTTTACTCAAGCAGCCTGGAAGTACAAGCGGGAAACTTCTGAAATGTGCAACGAATGGAAGAGACAACTGAATACCTGGGCAATCACCCAAAGTTTCATATGCAATGTTGAGTCAACCAACTTTGGCTAAGGCCTGATGTAACTGACATGCCATTTTTCAAAGGCAAGAAACCTTTTAGGACTCTCTCATCAACTCCCCTATCAAGTGTTCAGAACTGTTTCAAATGAGATACTTGTATTAATCAGTGATATCAGCAGAAAAAAATGGTAAGAAAAACAACTTAAACTTCCTTAAACAATAAGGGGTCTGGGTGTTCTGGCTATGTGGGATGCTTAGGCAGCAGGATCACTTGAGCCCAGAAATTGAAGACTAACTTGGGCAACAAATCAAGGCCCATTAAAAAAAATAACAGGAAAATTACAATAATGGGAAAAATGTTTGCTCATTGTGACTGGAAGGTCCAAGGATAGGCAGATTTCAGGTGAGGGTGAAGTTGACTGACCCAGAATCTCTTCCTCTAATCTATGTTACCTCTAATCTATACAAGCTTGGCTTCATCTCCACACTCTACAGTGTACCAAGTCTACACGGTGACCACATAGCTCCTCTCCGTGGTAAAATGCTACCTGGTCACATCTCCAAACCTCATGCCTACCTATTACCGGATTCTTTTCTGGTAAGATGGGGATTACCAATCAACTTGACCTCATCAGGACCCATCTTTGGGGCTAGATCTGGGTTCAACTCTGTCTAAATCCATAACTGTTATTTTTCCAAAACCATACTTGGGTGCTTTTTAAAGAAGGAACCATAGATAACAGAAAGTTGTAGGAGTTTACTAACAGTTGATCTGTTAGCCTTTATTCAGGACACATGTGCTTCCAGTCCGGGAGGTGCAGAAACTTGTGTATGTTAAACAGTTCCTCAGGTGGCTCTGTTTCACTTCTTTGGCTGAGAAGCACTGCTTATGGTAGGAGAGCATTTTCATACCTTGGAAGTAGAGGTTGGCACTTTCTCCTAGATACATTTCTGTCTCTAGAGGGCACTGTTTCTTTAACGAGCAAAGGAAGAGTATTATTTTATACGCTGAATTTTACATCTTAATTAAGAGAATATAGTAGTTTGTCAGTTCATGCAGGGCCAAGGGCACATGCACTTCCCAGTGATTTTATTTGTCTGATTATAAAATGCTTAGAGCCCGGTGTATAGCGAAGTCCTTTGGAATGTTTACTACTCCTGGTCAGAAGTACTAGCTGATTTTTTTTTCTACCCAGTGCAGTCACTAAAGTTTTAACTTAGAGTTCTTTGCTTGCTATTATAGTCTATGGAAGACATTAATATGTCCTAAAATATGCTCTCACTTAATTTAAAAGAG